TGCGCCGCTGCGATAAGATGATGCTGCATGATGATGACGCAGCGGCGCAAAAAGTTGCAACCTATGCCTCCAAGAGAAACTCGAAATTTTGAAAGGTGATAAGAAAAGATTACTGAACAGGAGATGTGAGCTTTTCTCGAAGTGTTGCCACCGGAAACAATTCTTGGCGGGAAAATTTGAACGTGCGCACGCAATACCATCACGCAAGTAGCCTAACGAACTCGCACGTAATCATACAGGAATTTTTATTGAGATTTAAACATTGTCGCCTGAAGATCGCATTGAGCGTGAAACTCAGAGTTGTGACTATATTTTAAGTTAAGAAATTAAATTATTTGCTCTACGTTATTAAATGGTATTGAGCACTCTTTCTACACTGTAAAATTTGATCATCTTTGGTCTCATTAATATTATATATATATATATATATATATACATATATATATTAGATAAAATGCTACATGCATATATATGTATATATATATATATATATATATATATATATATATATATATATATATATATATATATATATATATATATATATATAATATATATATATATATATAAAATAAATATATATATAATATATATATTCCGCTGGGTCAGTTTTATCAATTAAAACAATCTCGCAATCACTAATCAGTCCATTATATCCATTACCCAAGAAATGTTGGTGGAAAAACATTTGTATATATATATATATATGTTAATGCGCGTGACTCACTAGGACGTATACATTTTTATCAAAATTTCCCCATATTGTTTCAGGTCCGGTACCGGGCATGCGCGAGGCCGTGGCTTAATGAGCATACTGTCTGAAAGTGAGGCTGATAAACAAAGGAAGAAAATAATTGAACATCACGTAAGTTTATCTTTTACATTCTTGTGTCGTCGGTTTTATAATAGAGAAGTTCTGATTTAACTTCCGCTACCTCTCACAGCCTTAGTACGCATTTGATTGATTAATTAATCCGGTACATGGCTAAAAACGATCAGGTTGTTGCAATAGTTGATGAAAACAGGATTGAACGATGTTTTGCTGCCCGCATGTGTTGTTCAATATTGTTGACAATTGTGAACAACGTTGGAAGCAAAACATTGTTCCATCCTGTTGAAAACAGCGGGCTCACCGTTTTTACGCGTGTAGAATAAATGCATCTGATTGGTTATTGGCAGCGGTATTGGAAGTCAAAATCTTAACCACCCTAATACATATGCAATGTATCGCATATCCGTTGCCCGCTTCAGAACTGTAAATTCTTGCGGGCAGGATATCCTATATATTCAGTATAGACACCAAATTTTTATGTTTCGATTTTTCAACTAGGAAAGAAAAATCGTTATCCTGGGCTGAGAATGTGTCACTGTGTTCTTGTGTTATAGAAAGCGATCGAGCTTCAAGTTGAGGATCGAAGGCGACAAAAGATGGAGGAACGAGAACGTCGTCTTCGAGAAGAAGCTGTAGAGGATGAACGAGTGGCGAAGGAAAGAGAAAAATTACAGAAACAATTTGAAGAAGAAGTGATCAAAATGAAAGAAAAAGAGGTTTGATTATTCATTTATGAAGTCAGATCTTTTGTGATGCATGATTTTTCTGTTAATAGTTTTTAACATAACATGGCTCTATATGATGTTTGTGATGCTACTCTGAGTGTGCATCCACACCGGGCAAGCTGAAAAGTTAGCTTGGCCACGGTGGGAATTGAACCCGCGACCTTTGGGATACTAG